TACCACTAACTTTTGAACTTCCTTTTTGAAAAGAAAGAAAAGAGAGAAAGGAAAAAAAAAAGAAACAAAAAAGAACTAAAAGGGTGGCTAAAGTTGAAAGTAAGATCCCTATATTGTCATGTTTTAACTCATGATAGAAAATTATGCAGTTGGTATATTTTCAAATCATACCCTTCTGTTAAATTTGACCAGGGTATGATTTAAAAGTTTCTCAAACTACAAAGGCATTCTAAACCATTTTTCAAACTACAAGAGTATGATTTACAGACCAGACCAACAAAGATGTCACAATTAATTGTAATGCAAATTAATGATGTCTTAGAGGGAGAAAATTAGAAAGAAAACTTTAATATTGTAATTTTCGAACAGGTTTTCGATTTTCTTTTCTTCTCTGCCTGTGTTTACCCTCTTTCCTTGTTGCCAAGACAAATGAATTGAGGATGAGAAGTCCCAAGCTTGAAATGAAAATTGAGGCAAAATTTCAAACATGGAAATGAAGAGAAAGGGGGAGTGTGGGTGAACTCTGAACTGACGTGAAAACAACAGAACAAAACAAAAGGACTGAAAATGGAGACCCCACTCCACCTCACCTCACACTCAGCCCCCTCTCTCTTGGTTTCACAGAAATGCACATTACACAAGAAGAGAGAGATGGATTGGATGTTGCTGTACCTGTAGCTGTAGCTCTTATTTATGGCCTCCAAAACTTTGACCCCACACCCATTGCCATCTACTCACGGGTCTTCAACTCAAACTTCCCCTTTCTTTTTTGTTTCTTCTCTACTCTTTCATTCACCCATCTTCATTTTTACAAAACAAACCCATGTACCGAGCGTAATGGCGGGGACCAACTTGTTTAACATGGGGTCGGAGTTGAATACACGAGAAAAGAATTCCCTCTACGTAATTTATGAGTCAGAGATTGGGAATATGTTCCTCCTCCTGACCCCAGCCCGTCCCGTTACTATAATTTTTTATCTAAGAATTTTTTTGTAGGCTCCGCCACCACCAGCAGCGGTAACAGTGGTACTGCAAGTCCAGATGCACTGTGAAGCTTGTGCTCAAGTTTTAAGGAAGCGGATTAGGAAGATCAAAGGTACAATTTTTCTCCTCATACTTTGATGAATAAAAGAGCAAGACAAGGTAGGATAGTGAGAAGAACATGTAAAAAAAATGGAGGTTGTTGCAGGTGTGGAGTCTGTGGAAACAGATCTTGGCAACAATCAGGTGATTGTAAAGGGGATCATTGATCCGACAACACTGGTCAACCATGTCCACAAGAGAACCCGAAAGCAAGCTTCCATTGTAGTGAAGGAGGAGGAGAAGAAGGAAGAGGAGAAGAAGGAAGAGGAAAAACCGACAGCCGAGGAGAAACCAGAGGAGAAGAAGGAGACCCAAGAAGAAGAAAAGGAAGAAGATGATAAGAAAAATGACATCAAAAAGTTCGAGTACTGGCCATCCAGATACTACACTGAGTATGCTTATGCCCCTCAGCTTTTCAGTGATGAGAACCCAAATGCCTGTTCAATAATGTAGTATCTCACTGCAATTGTATTTCTTAGTTGGCTGAATTTGCCGTTTTGTATGTTCTGAGATACTCTGTATCCGTGTAATGCATGCAAGATTAATGTTAATCTCTCTCTTAACTTCAGATTTTCAACTTCGGACAACGAGTCTCTCTATATTTACACAATGGTCGAATATTCTATCTACTTTAAGTCTAAGCCTACATGGTTAGACCATATTCACATCCTAGATAGATTTTAGCCATGTTATGAAAGAGAGATGAATGATCCTATTCCTACCACAATGATGGGGAAATTTTTGGTACATGGGTAAAATGTATGTCAGATCAAAAAGAGATGGGATTATGTAAGGTACAGTCTTGAAGAAAGATTCATACAGACTTCCTGGTTGATTCAGAAGTGTTGAAATGAAATGGCATCAACACCAACACCATACAAAGCTACAGTGAGGAAAAAGGGATGGCTTTAGATTTTGAATTTCATTACATGGGACGTCTATACTACGTTATCTCTGCAAGGATTTATAGAGCACGACAGTTACGTACTTCGCTAGGAAACGGTGAGTCATTCCGAGTGCCACGACGGAGGGGCCGCCCCTTTCCTTCTGCATGTAGAGATGATTCAGCACCACATGCTGAGGTCTTGATAAAGGAGGTAAAATCTCATTGTATGGGCAGGGCATGTTGAGCAGTGTTGTTTGCAAGTGTGGAGGAGCCAATGGTGGCTCCTTTGAATAATCTTCAGGTTCCAGCTGCAAATTGCTGTAACTCGACTCGGGAGACTGAGGAGGTTCGAAGCTAGAGATGCTTTCAATGTCTTCTGGAACATAATCCTGTAACATTCATCAATAAAAAATCTTATAACCCTCTATTCCGAAGTTACTGCCACCAAAAGCCATTCTCCAGGGATCCTATTGGGGCATGCTCAAAAGGAAAAAGAAAGCTCTGACTTAATGACTTGTACAAGTTTCCGCTTTTGTGTATTGATTTACAGAATCCTTATTCAAATTCCTATTCTGGGTCAAATGTGTCAGTCTCAACACATAAGATGAGAAAGAATGGCCATTCGAATAAAAATTAAAGCATTGATTGAAGAGCATTTGCCCCAATTAAAACATTAGAACTGTATGCAGATATGGAAAAATATTGGAGAAGAAAAACATGAATATTTTAGGGCTAGTTTGGTTATCATTTTGTTTTTGGTTTTCTATTTTTAAAAATTGAGTTCATAAACACTACATAACATTCTATGTTTTGTTATATGCATTTTAAATTTTTTTTCAAAATCTAAGTTAAATTTTGAAAACTAGAAAAAGTAGTTTTCAAAAGTAGTTTTTGCGTTTTGAAATTCGGCTTACCAAAAAGATGATGAGGAAACAAACATAAAAATAAAAACTAAAACAAAATTATTATCAAACGAGTTCTTTAACGATCATATTTTTCATCAGTTGATAACCAAGCTTATTGACTAAGATGAGAGGAAGGCATCTATGATGATAGAAGTACAACCTTAATTATATATTTTAACCAAAAAGAATAAAGATTGAATCAAGAGTTTACTAAGTGCTTAGTCTTCTTGAAACTAGGTTTCAAAAAACAACAGCATCATTAACCAAGGTGATCACAGAATGAGAGGAATTTGATTCTCAACCCTGAGTTTATGATCAGAAAACTCCAAATTTGAATTATATTTGGTAATTTCAAACAAAAATAATTAAAATTTCAAACTTTGATGCAGATCATGAAACCAATTCTTTAAAATCTTCAGTTTTTGTCCCAACTAAAAGAATCACGTCCTACTTCAATAAAAGAGATTTTTACCTGCAAGTCCAAGATATTGTAAGCATTGCCTGCATCATCTTGTGCCCAAGGCAAGTCAGGAGCATATCTCCATTGTCCATCAGCAATAAACCTATACTGGTAAACACCAGAAGGCAGTACCTTCATAATCGTGAAGTCCTTCCCGGATCTCTGCAATGGTATTCTGATGAGATAGAAGACATCAGGTATCAGAATGCAGTCAATCGAGTAAAAACCAAACAAACAATCAAGAGAGCAGAGCAACAAACTTCATTTTCCAATTATCCCAGGAACCCTCAAGAGCTACTTCCTTGCCACCATGGCTCCACGTAATCATTGTTGGGATTCCTTGTTCACTGCCAACATCGTCAAACCATGAACTGTTATGCATCCATGAGTGGCTTGAGTTGTGCACCTCATCAGGTCTTGGCAGTGGAACGACTGGCACCTGTAGGACAAATAGCACTCATAATCATGGCTCACGATGACGGAGCGTGGAGGGTGAAGACACTAAAGAAAAAGAACCAGTACAGAGATCAGGTTATTTCACAGCAGACAGCACAACCCACAGTTATACTACTAACAAAAACTAAAGAGGACATTCTGGTTATAGCTAAACAGTATTACTGACTCCATTCCAGAGTCCGAAATGGGTAAACTTTCTAACCATTCAAAGTAAATTACAAATTAGAAAAGTTAAAACAAAAACCATTTTCTATCATTTTATTCCCAGTCAGTCACCTCTTTCCATCTCAAGGATGACAGAGTGATTTTTTTTCACCTTCTACAAGTACAAGCATACAGACAAATTCCATCTCCATGGTAAAATGGATCCTTAAATCGAGATGCCTTCTGTACAAAGATTCCAGTGAGCTTATACAACACAACACTGCAATGGGAAAACTAAAGGTAGAGGCAGCCGATCGAATTTAAACAAAGAATTGTAGTAATAATAGCTCTGTAGATTCACCAAATCGCCTTTCAATTCATGTTGGATTTACATCAAACATATACTGTGCAGGTAAAGTAAGGACACGAAAAGGTCAAGATTCCTCGCAGAAGCTTATCGAAAAAGGAAACAAAAGGCATTTCCAATTGCATACTACGCCAGACTTTCCCACCATATATCAAATTTCATCGAACTACAGAATTTCACGACCAGAAATGGAAGCCAGAGTTGGGGGAACTCACTTGGGGAGTGAACATCAATGGAGACGGAATGGCGCGGGGGCTATGAGGAGGGGAATGACCCATCAGCTCTCCGGGCGGATCGCCGGCGTGGTAGCCAAGGTGCGCATCGGGCGGCGCAGCCAGGCCATCCGGCAAACCCCTCGGGCGGCCACCGACTTCTTCATCTTCTTCGTCAGCCCCAGATGGGTTACCGTCCTCATCTTCTCTCCCGTTCACATTCCCCATTAATACGAAAAAGAATAAATGGAAAGTAAATAAAAACAACCAACTTGTAGTTGTAGAATCCCTTACGGGGGAGCGAAAAAGAAAGAAAAAGGGGGAAAAACGATTCTCCACAGAAAAAAAAAAAAAAGAAAAGAAAAGAAAAGAAAAAAGATCAAGTGATTTGGGACCACAGAGAAACCCTCGTAAGCTTAGTTCATGTTGCAGAATTGCAAGGAAATCCGAGGAGGATAAAATTAAAGAAAGAAACCCAGAGCGACAGATATGAGGAGGGATTTAAAAGGAGAAACTGTAAACAGAGTAATGGATTCGAAAAACCAAGCAAAAGAGTAATCTTTCTTTTCTCCGATGAGTTAGGAAGATCGGATGGTGGCCCAACGATGATGGGCTTTTAAGGATAGCAGGAATCATCGTCACGTCATCGTTGACAAAGTCCTCATCTCACCCTTTGAACTTCAAACTCCAAACTCCAAACTCCAATTTTGCTATTTTACAGCTTCCCCTCTCATGCTTTCTTTCTTTCTTTCCCCTGTTGTGGATGCCACGTTCTAAGTTCTAACCTCCGTATGGGCTACACTTCTAATAATAATAATAATAATAATTCCCAGTTTCTTTCGTACAACGACAGATTTCATACAACCTTTTTTTTTCCCCTTTCTTTTTCTTTCTGAAGGACCCTGCTTCCTATTAAACATACTTCAAACGATTTCATGAATATATATAGAAAATTTCCCTTTCTTCTTGTTTTATGGGAATTGAGATACAAATTGCCAAATTGATTCTATGTCTAACCATATGGAGGCAGCCATTAAAATCATCATATCGTATTCAAAATCAAACTTTCAACTTTTAAATAATAGAAACATGGGTCTGATCCGGTGGCAAAAATAAATGAAGAATAGCAACAAAGATTCATGCTCTCTCGGCAAATATATACATTTTGAATCAAATGAGGATTGATCTCAGAGCAGTTAAAGAAGTATGGCGTCGTGGCTGATGAAGAAACCTCACTGCCTTTTCAGATCATTTTCGTTTAAATACATTAAGTAGCTTTTGGTTGAAAACGCCGAGGAAGTAAGCACAGGAGAAAATCCAGAGTACTGCTTCTGAATCTTTGCGGCACAAATTTTGTTAGTATACCTCAATACTTCGTGTTCTTGAATAAATGGTTGAGCGGAGTAGTCCTCGAATTTCATCCACTGCGATAACAATGGTTTCAACAATTACACACAGTACAAATTGGTAGCTATTAGTTGTAATCTCACATGCTTGTCTTTTTCGTCGGATACAATTGAAAGGACTAATCAGAATCTAATTCGACTAGCTAGAAAATATGGTTATTTCGCCGCGAATATTAACATTCCGAGAGGTCTGCAAGTTTTTGAAGCAACTGATTCAACAAGCTTGTAGCTTATGGTCGCAGAGAGCCGATTTCAAACATTACACGACGTGTTGATGTAAAGTATTTCAGTTTTATGTTGTTTCAATTGTCTGGACATACCTGGGCGTCCTCTATCTCCGCTTCTTGCTTGCATATTTCAGAGGATAACGGTTTCAACATGCAAACGAAGAACAAATCTGATTTCTCAAAGAATGCTTGGTGACTCTGTCTGCAACAATTTGAATGAATAGCAAATGATAAACTTTAATGTAAAAAAAATTGAAACCATTCTCTTTGCAGACATTAAACATGCGATCTTAAAAGAAGAATCTAAGGCTTCAAAGTCTAGCCAAATTCTACATATGTGGGGCGGAAAGTTACATTCCTGATGGATGATTTCATAATCTAACCGATATTCATAATTTCGTACCTGAAGGCTAAAACTTCCACGAATTGTGTGTCGATCTGTAGAAGCATAAGCCAGGAAACTTTAGGATAACTTCTAATTGGGACTAACATGATAAACAACTGATGACCAGATAATACAGCTTATCTGATCATGTAACTTTATTTAACTTACACCAGTCTCTTCTCTAACTTCTCTCTCTGCAGCTCTGCATATATCTTCCCCCTTTGATATTAGCAAGCGAAGTAAGAGGAAAATTAAGATATTAACATGCAGATATGGAATTGGAGCATATTCGAAAGTATTTACCTCATCCACAACCCCTGTGGGAAACTTCCATACACCAGTCCCTCGAAAAAATCCACTATTTTCCTGAACCACGAGTACCTAAAACAAAATTTTCAATAAATTAGAGGACCTTCTCGGACTATAAACGACCAAAACATAGCTTACAGCAGTGCCGTACATATTTGCCACTTTGCAGTAATTTAAAAAACGCACACTTCCCATATTTTTTAGATACTTTTGGACATTTTTTCTCAATTCTAGTTTCTTGTTGTAACCATGATTACTGCTGGTCTGCTACAAGTTAAGTATATAAATACAAAAAAGCTATTCATTCACTAAGTTTCTTTTCTTGGTCACTGCAGTAATAAAGTGCATGGAAATGTACCTCTTGGTTTTCGTTCAAGACAAAGGCACAAATGCCGACTCGATGGGTGGCATTTACGGGAAGAGTATGAGCTCCTCCTGGTATCCAGTACACAAGCATCAAATAGTTGGGCTCCGCATGGTGGTACCAGAATCCTTCCTAGACAAAGGATAATGTTCGCTGTTTGGTGAAAGAACCATACAAAGTCTACTGTGGAAATGATCTAAAATCCTCATCAGAATATCACCTTAACAACGGCTTCAACAAGATTAGAAAGTTCAATAGGCAGTTTAATCCAAACACCTCTCTTGCCCTGCAAAAGATTTGCTCATCATGAACACAAGGAAAGAATATAAATTACTTAATGCGACACAGTGCCAGAGCATCCCCAGAAATGACTCCATGCTAAAGGTAAAACCAGCGTTGGAGCAAAAAGAACACTAAAATCTCAAGTACAGGAGGCTAATTTTCAACAAAGTTTTCCACTACTACAACTACATCATGAGAATGATTTTGAAAATTTTCAAGTTAAATTAAGAAACTGAATTTTGAAGATCACATGCTCAAGAATGAAGCAAAAAGAGATGGCAGGTGTATCTAAACCCTGTACATTAATTGATTACTTTTTACAGTGGCATTAAAATTGCAGGAGAAAGAAAAAGCTTGTGTACCTTAGTCCTAACAAAGAAATGAAAATGGAGTAACTATGATCTTATATCATTCAAAGGTGGGCACTATGATGAGGAAAAAGGGGGGAGAGGTTTACTATTGAACTCATCATGATAAGAATGACCACCTGTTGTTTCCAGTATGAAACTGAAGCTCTAAGGATGGGCACAAAGACCTCAGAGTCCATAGGTTCGCTCATCTCCACGATAACACCTCCATGATCATCGTTGGTTGCATCAAGCAGTTTAACCTGTTGAACCTCATTTGCAGCCGGGACTTGCTCCATAACAAATGGTGACTTAGCAGAAACTGAACAGAATTTACTGCAAAAAGAAGCTGAATTTCCAACGCCAATCCCTAACATTACAAGACTCAATTAGTTAAACAGTTCAGTGTATTCACATTTACCATCTGCTCATAACAGAATCCACAAAAGTAATAGTGAAAAACTGAAGTTTTTCGAGTGTCATCTCTCAAATTCATTCACTGCGATTCAAAACAATGAGATGGGTATTGCAAAAATAAAACAACCTTACAACGCGCTGACATAAGCGAGAGTGAACTACAACAAATTAGCCAAGCAATCATTCAATCGTTCTAGTCCGGCAACAGAAATGCAGCACATTAAGAATCGAAACACCAGAATTTAAACTCCAACAAAACCAAAATCTGGCTTGGAGGACGCATTAACATTTCTAATCAACCCCCCGAGCAAGTTCGTATTAACGAAGAATCAAATCATAAGTAAACTCACGAGCTGATCGAACCCAATAAACACTCGCAAATTATCTAAAAATTTCAGGTTCATTGACATCCCTAATTTGGAGGGGGGAGAGAGAGATAGAAATCAGAACCTGTGCAATAAAAGGTAGAGATGGGTGCGAAGCGAGCAGCGAAGCAGAAGAGAGGGAGGTGATATCCCGGGAAGCAAGACGGAGCAGTGACAGTGGTTCTGAAAATGGGCATGAAATTGGAAGAAAACAAGAGGGATCTGATCATGAAGACTCAGCCCTGTGGTTGAAGATGAAGGTTCAGGCTACGCGTTCGTTCCTTCAGTTTCTCAAATTTTTTTTTCCTTTCTTCCAATGGCAGTTGCTTAGAGTCTAGACTCTATTTTCTTTGACTGCAATCCCCAAATCTAAGAGGCTGCCGACTGGCCACGTCTGCTCCATGGGCCCCGCCTAAGCAGTGAGTAATTGTTTATTTAAATACTATTCCGTCCAAAACTTCAAAAATGTATTTTTAAATTTTACAAATTAGCTAATATTACACAGGCTAAATATAATTTTTAAAATATAGCTGTGAGTGGTATATATAATTTAAGTTAAATTTTTACGAATAGCGATCAAAATTGATATTTTGAATGTCTAATGACCAAGATAATATTTAAATCGTACGGTTAGATTGGGTTGATCTATTGAGAAATTTATATTATACAACATAACTTAATTAGTTGTTTAATATGTCACTGATTCAGAAGTTGAAGTATTGAATATATGATCTTGAAAAGAATGAAGAATAAATGCTCATTTTTTAAAATTGGATTGAGATCTAGCAACTCTATATCAAAATTTATGATTATGAATAAAAATTATGGGTTTAAATACGATTAGCCTAGTTAAAAAAATCAATGACAATAAATCAAAATAATTACAGAACTAGGATTTTGAGATCTCTCACGTCTTTGTCTTCAAAAAGATTTCACTATTGACTTCTTTCTGTCTTTGTATCTTTAATTAAAATGTACGTACAGCTAAAGACTAAAGAGGCTTAATCTGAACTAATTTTTTCAACTACATAGAAAAAGGATTTCACAATCTTTTCGATAGAGTTGCTCAATTGACGAGAGCATAGACGAGTGCGTTCTTCTCCTTGTTGATGTGGGTAAATTTGTACTTTTATATTTTTGAGTAAAGATTTGAACATTTTTTTTAAGTGAATATTTCTGGAAGTACAAGTATATAAATATTTACTATAAGGGGGTTATATAGTATGGGTTATGGTACTTTTCAAGAATTAAAGAAATTATTTTCTTACCATGGATTTAGAGTGAAGGAGATATTTTTACTTTTTTAATTAAAAAACTTCAAACCAAACTAACTGAAAAAATAACCCATAAATTGATCCAGCTAATAAACTTTTAACCCAATAATTAAACTCTAATGGTCAACATGGCAGCTTAGGTTCAAATTTCCACCTTTAAATTTGGTTGAGCATAAAATTTACTCAAACATATCCTGAATTCCGATGAAAATTAGCCTGTAAAATAAAAATTAGCACTTTAATACTCAAGTCAGTACATGTTCGAATTGATTTACTTTTCAATTAAATATTGAGATCAGTAGATATATAAGAATCCATTTATCTTAAAAATTTATAAGCAACCATTTGATAGTAACTTCCCATTATATCTTCTCCATAAATTACAAATCACTCAGTGAAGTAGTGGTGGGTGGGTGGTTAGAACACACTTGAGCACATACGTTCGAACTCCCTCTTTCAAACTTCCAAAATTACTATGTCTTCTATGTCCGGACTGACTTAGGAGTTAATCTGGTCACAGAATCAACAAGCAGAACATGGCCGAGCATTTTCAATTGTCTAACAATATTTATTGTATTAAATAATAATTAACTAAACTCTAACCCATATAGTTGGATTTAAAAAGCAATGGTTAAGTTGTTGCAGATCTTGAATAGGAGGGACTTTCATGCTTTAGATAAAGAGAAATTTTTTCCTTTTTCAATTTTTGACCATCTCTCCATTTCCAAAACTCATCGCCTTTGAATTTTCAACTACTACGTCTACCAAACCAAATAACAATTTCACATTCTGATCTACCATTTTTCTCTTTAAAGTTGTCCCCAGTGTGATTTCTCCTCTCAACTTTTTCTTGTTACATTTCCCTCTTCAATGGTGTAGGAGTATTATTCGTCTGGCTCTCTGTAATCAAAAGTTCGGGCGTTCGAATAACAATTTTGTATCACAGCCATAAATCCTACGTTCACGTGGAAGTCCCACGTGTGTTTCTCCTTGTTAGTTCTTCGTGTTCGTGGTGGTGCCTTGCCCTCAATTCAATTCTCTCCTTTCTGCAATTTCAATTTAATAAAACAAAGATCTGGTGGACAATGGAGATCCCTTTATTGACTCTCTGTCCCTCTCCAGTCTCCAACCAAAAACCACACCCATCTCCCTTTTCCTTTTCTAATCCGCTCACACTCCCACATGGCAGCAACTATCCAATGACAGGTACTTCCATCCACAAAGATTTTCAAATCTCTTCTTTAATTTAGCATCTTTTTTGTTTTTTTGTTTTTTTACTTTTCAACATTCTTGTCTAAAGCATTTACTCCCGTCAAAGTCCGCATGGGGCTCCCACCTATGACTGTTTCTAGTCAAAATCTATCCGTCCCACTCACCATCATTTCCCCATTCTACTTGAAATCGTGGACCGCCGTGTTTTGCCTCCCTTAATCATTCCGCCCTCGAACTGTAGACGAAATATCCCACCTGCACCAACCCTTTATTTTCCTTTCAAATTTCACTCCACTGGTTCACGGATTAAGCCCTCTTCGATTTCTGAGCCCTATGTTCATTGCTTTCGTTTTGATTTCTGGTCTTTTTCTTTTTTCTTTGATCTTGTGTAGATGTAAAAAATGGACACTGTCTGGGTGGTTGGAATGTGGTTCTGTGGTTGTCTTGTTTAATGGGTCGAAATCGAAACGTTTAAAAGTTTGTTAATTTCACTTAAAACTCCATCTTCTTGGCTCTTGATTTCTCTCCCATCCATATAATTGCAGCTTTCTAGTGCGTGCATACTTTTTGAAGCCACCCGCGTGCGCCTTCTTCTTGGATAGCTTGATGCGGCCATTGCTATGGAAGCTGAATCAGCTGGGGAGCCATTGGGGTTGCTTAAAGTGCTTGTGATTCAAGGGAAGAAACTTGTGATTCGTGATTTCAAGAGCAGTGATCCTTACGTTATTGTCAAGTTGGGGAATCAGGTCATTTCTCGCCCTTCCCTCTTCTTATAGTGTTCGTTTCTTCTTTGGATACCCTCATGTTCTGATTTGGCTTTGTTAAGTAATTTCATTCTCATTACAGACAGCAAAGACCAAAGTTATCAACAGCTGCCTTAACCCTGTTTGGAATGAAGAACTAAGCTTCTCCCTCACCCAACCTGTCAAAGATCTGAGATTGGTAAGATTCTGCTCATCAGTTTTTAAGCCGTATTGTCTGTGTTCTTTGAGATAGTCCCTGATGTAACACTGTCTGCACTGCGGCTCATTCATTTGTTTATTTCTTTCTCCCAAGTTTCATAACTTCAGGCTGTAGTCACTTGTAAATTCTTAGCAATTTTGGTCATGAAGAAGAAGTGTGGTATAATGGCTTATTACAGTATAGCAACTATCATTTGAAACCATACAAGCAAGTGTCAAACCGGTTGTAAATGATGAGAGACTGTATTGTTTTGATAGCTAGGGCTATCTTATGTTTGTGTAATCAAAGTCCCATTTGATAAACAAATTTCTTCATTACTCATTCATCTTTGCTTCTAGTTTTCTATTCTACCATATTCTGTAGCTCTGTATTCTGACCTATTTCTGGAACTGAAGAACTAAAAATGAGAACAGTGTAAGATAATTTCTTGAAGTTTGTCCTAAAAAAGTTGTGTTCTTTCTCCAGGAAGTGTTTGACAAAGATCGGTTCAAGGCAGATGACAAGATGGGACATGCCGAGCTGAGCCTTAAGCCAATTGTTTTGGCTGCTAGATTGAAACGAGTTCTTGGAGGTTCGTCGGGGCTGACAATGTTAAGAAAAGTTACTCCGGACACTAATAACTGCTTAGCAAGGGACAGCAGCATTAGTTGTATGGATGGAGGGGACGTATCGCAGAGCGTTTGGTTGAAGCTACGTGATGTAGAATCTGGTGAAATAGAGCTAAAGATCAAGTTCATTGACCAGTCTAGATAAAAGTTATGTGCTGTTTGAGGCTGTGGAAGGTGGAGTAGCCTGTAAATTTGCTTCCATTTTTCATGGTTTTGATCTGTCTTCAGCTTACTGTGATCAGTGATTATGGGTAGAATGAGGCAGATTTAGCCATTTAGGGTGTAGATTCTGCTGTCTGAAAGCTAAGTTAGAAGCTTATGTTGTGTTTGGTTTGTGGTTTTTTCATGGTGGTGGGATATAGAGAATAGGCTTGGAATTGGAAGGTCCATTATCGTATTTGGATAATATTTAGACATGGATAGTTGACCATGTGAACAAACATCTTCGATTCTGTCGGAGAATTTGAAATATGAAGATCACTAGCATTGGAGAGAAAAATGACAGCTACATAATTTCTGGTTAATAAATAGTGAATACTATATAAAATATACGAATACCAAGTTATACCAAGTTGTAGATAATATAGTTCATAATACTTAGTGAAGTTAGTTCACCTACTAGTGACATTAGGACTCCTTAGGAGTGTAGCCGGGTAGATTCGAATTTTAAGTAAAGTGGAAAAAATCAAATCGGTTAAGGCTCTACTCCTTTTTGTGAAGTTGGAGTTTAAATCTTCACTCTCACATTTATTATATTATAAAATTTACTACTATATGATTCTATTAATATAGTTGTTTTATTGCATGCTTTAACATAGGAAAATAATTAATATATATATCCAAAAAAATTTCAATGCAATTCAAAGGATTTTTTTCCCCTTAAAGTGAACTTTAGTCTGATTTTTCTATTTGGATTCATAATTTTCAAAATGTGTATCATACTTCTTTAAAGGAAATATTCCTGTCATTGTCATTATTTTTCAATTAATATTATTTAATCAACATTAACCAAAGTTATATAGCTATAATACATGGCTAGAAAACTTCTAAAATAAAAGTAAAAGACAATTTTTTTTAAGAAATTTTCAACTTTAGATTTAGAATAATACTTAGATATTTCGTATCGTGTTTTTTTAACAATTAAACGAGAGGAATGCTAAATAAGAGAGAAGAAAAACTAAAAAAAAAAAATAATAGTTGTCAACTTCAAGCATAATTCAACACTAATTTATATATATATTTCGACCTCAGAGGTTGAGTTTGGTCCTGGCTGTACAAAAAAATGAAAGTGTTTTAAAAAAAGAAAAGAAAAAAATTTAAATTAGAATGTTTGCTAAACTCAGACGAAATGAGTTTTGAGGTTGAAACTTCAGAGTAGTCTCAGAATCGGAGACGACGGCCCCTCACCCTTCTGATTTAGGAAGGCGACGCAGATTGGATCTGGGAACCTGAAATTGAAGCGAAATCAAGCAGGTTTGTGCTGTACGGCGTCTCCGATCAGGCTTGGACGTGGTTCGATTGTCTCAATCGACGCATTCCATGGACCGGGCCAACCATTCGCGTCTTCCAGGTTCAGGTCTTCCCCCTTTCTCGATTCCGTTCTCTCTTTTTCAGTTTAGGGTTTAGGGTTCCTCAAACTAATTACAACTTTAACATTTAACAATCGACTGTTGGCTGTCTTAGTCTTAGATTATTTTCCTTTTTGCCCGTCCCCTGCTTTCTTCTTGTTTCTCAGAATTAGGGTTTTGCTTTCTTCCTCACAAACCCTAGCATTTTCACGCAATTGAGTGTAAGATTAAAGTTCCAATTTGCTAATGCAGCCTAGAGATAACTCGCTACTTTGCGATTCTAGGATTGTTGACGAGATTGAACCACATGCCTATGGGATGATTTTGCTCCTCTTAGGAACATTTTGAATGCAGTCAGATTTTTTGTTTTGATCTTTCACCATCAGGTTCTTTTGCCTCTTTTAGATACAAGTTTTTGTTACTACTTGGGTCTTCACTTCTCTGTCAATGTCCACAAAGCTCTTCCAGGGAGTTGAGGGCAATGATTATGTGGGTTCGCATTCTCCTTCAATTTGTAACCTATGAGCTTTAGTTTTGATTTAGTGATAATTTATCACGGTACAAGGTTCAAACCATGTAATCTCACTCCCTCATAATTTTTAGATTAAAGTTCACAAAATACCCTGAAACTTTAGTAGTGTAGGTTTCAATTATGGCCACCCTCAATCTTTAAAATTGTTTAATAGAAACCCTTTAAGAAAAATTAAAATGGGACGTGGGGTTGAGTTGGATTATCTGAGTTGTAAAAGTGAAGTTGCATGTGGGCATAGGTGGTTTCAATTATGCCATATAATTTAAAGCTCTCATTTTCACCCATAACTTCTAAAATTGTTCAAAAATCCCCTTAGTTAGCTTTCTATTAACATGAAGATGGAAACTAGTGTGTAACTAAGGGTCTTAGTTACATAAAAAAGTAGTGTTATTTTAGAGGAAATAATTTTGAGGGCTTGGATAAAATATTGTTCTCTCATAGAAAAATTTGAGGGAATAAAATTTTCAAGGGTAAACAAACCATGAACTATATACAAAATCTGGTGCCTCCATTTCCATGATCAATTGACAAAAATTAAGGCTAACAAAGAAGCTCAAAACAACAAAACCTAGGGATTACGAGTTGTTTGTTAAATTTTTTACATTTGAAGATGGAAATTGTCTTCCTCTGTCGATCTTTTTTTTTTGGTTCTCCTAACATCCACCCCATGCTTTCCATTTTTCCACAATTTTTCTCTCAAGAACATAGGCTACTCACAAAGCTCTCTCTAGACCCACATCTTTAGCTTTACCAATACGTGGTTTCTGATTTTTATAATTTTTCTAATCTCCAAATTTCCTTCCCTCCCTAATCTGCACGATTTTTAATGTGACTAAAACTATTTGATTACCATTTGGCCACATCATATTTCAATCTTCATTCTTCATTTGAATGGGCAAGTAAGTAAATGGAACGGTTGTTTTGAAACAATTTTGAGTTTAAGGATTAAAATTAAAATTTTAAAATAATAGAAGTATAATTGAAATTTATCTCAAAGTTTAAGGGCATAGTTGAGAGGGTATCTCCCTTTTCATCCCTCACTTACTCTTTAAGGAAAAAGTTGATAAAAGAAAACATATTTTTTTAAAGATTTTAAATATGGAAAGTGGAATTGACACTTTTGAAATGCCAGGGGATAAGCAGAATTGAAATCTATCCCAAACTTCAAGTGGATTTGGTACCATTTAACCCTTTTTTTATTCAAACATAATTACCAACCCTTACACAGAAGATATTAAACAGGGGCCGGTGATTACATGATAGTAAAACGTCAATCATAGAGTGCATGAGACAAGCGTGGTTTGATGAACACTTCCAATGGACTGGCTTTCATGTTCGACAATCCAATTGATCCTGTCATATCGACGGCAGCGTCCTCCACTGTCGATATATCAAAAGCTTGAAGCAGTCCACCCAAAATAAGTTGTACCATTTGGAGTCCCAAGGACATTCCAGAGCATGCTCTTCTTCCTCCCCGAAAGGGATTAACTCAAACTGCTGTCCCTTCACATCAAAATCTTTGTGGGTCGTCAGAAACCTTTCTGGTTTGAACTCCAATGGCTCCCCCCACACCCTCTCATCTCTGTGGATCTTCCAGAGGTTCATGAACAACCATGTCCCTTTCTCGATATGGAACCCGTCGATGGCAAAATCCTCTGAGGTTTCTCGAACAAAGAGGCCTACTACTCCGTACAACCGCATTGTCTCCTTCACTACTGCCTGGAAATACACTAGCTTTCCGATGTCAGATTCATTCAACTCTCTATCTCGGCCGATACGGGCATCTAGTTCTTGTTGTACTTTTCTTAGTGCAGGGCGATTGTTCAGCAGCAATGAGAGTGCCCATGTCACGACCACCACTGTTGTATCACTCCCTCCCAAAACCATGGTCTGCACATATATATAAACAGAGTCAGAATAGAGTCTCATCATTCTTGATTGAAAAGATCAATACGTACCAAACATGTAGCTTTGATAATGGTATCGTCATCAAAGCTATGAGCCGAATCTGAAACAACATTGGCCGTTTCCTCCTCGAGAACTGAAAGCATCACGTCCATGAAGTCTTTATCTTCTTTGGATCTGCCGGAAGCTCTGTCCTTCCTGTGTTCCTCCAACCACCGTGTCAACATATGGTCCAATTCTTTAGAAGTTCTTTTCATGGCCTTCACATGGCCGCCAACATCCAACCATCCTAAATACGGGACAACATCACCCAATGTAAAAAGTCCCATTAAGCGTAAGAACTCCTTCGTTGCTCTGTGGCACGCTCGCGCCTCTGCCTCTGCTACCATTGCTGCAGCTCCAAAGTACCTTTTACCAGCCACGACGCCGAGAATGAGGTTCATAGTCAAGTCACCGACCCACTGCTTCATTTCCACCAAAACCTGGCCCTGCTCGTCTCTTCTTTCTTTCCAAGCTGTGTATAGCTCTTTTATGGCTTGGTTCACTTCCGACTCTCGAACGTTTCTGAGGAGCTCGAGTCTGCGATTGGAAAGAAGGTGGAGGTTGGTTGTTTTACGCATTTTGCGCCAGTAAGAGTCGTAGGGTCCGAAAGCGAACATGGCGTAGTTGTAGCCCAAGATTTTAGAGGCGAGAATATTGGGGCGGGAGGAGATGGCAACGTCATGGGTGGTGAAGCACTGTTTCGCCGCCTCCCAGCTATTGATCACGACGGCTTTGCGGATACCCAATTGGATGGAGAAGATTGGACCGTATTCATTTGCCAAAGCACTCAGCTTTATATGGGGCAGTTCAGGCCCTGCGAGGAGAGGAAGGTGCCCAATTAGAGGCCACCCGCCGGCCACCGTGGGCGGCTTTAGACCCTTTGATGCGGTGAATGTTTTGAGGAGAAAACGGAAGAAATTGATGGCAATGACACCGGCGAGAAGGGTGGTAATCAGGCTGAGCCAATTGAATTGCGCATTTGGTTCCATCGACGAATGAAGGGGTGGAGAACTAATGAAGAAGAAACTCAAATTAACGAACAAGTCAATGGCAAGGCGCAGCGGTGGGCATGAATCCAAGGGCGTAGTAAGCAGTTGTTATCAAGTTGCACAGAATAAATAAAAAAAAATACAAAATTAACCAAAACAACAAAAACACACAAAACAACACAATAATAAAATAATAAAATATAACTTTATATCGCGAAGTAGTCGGTAGAATCTGACAACTAAAATAACATTTTTTATTTATATTAAAAAAGGTAAAAGCTTACTAAAGCTCATACGTTACTTTTTTTTTCTTTCAAATTAGTGTAACATCTGCATTATTTTGAAAATAAGTTTAAAAAATGACCAGTTTGATAATTAGTTTTCAAGTTTTCAGTTTTTAGTTGTTTAAAAACAAGCTTATTTGATAATTAATTCAATTTTCTGTTTTTTGTTTTTTAATATCGTTTTTGAAATCCTTTATAAATTTCAATTTTTATCTTTCTAAAAACAGTTTTTTGTTTCTCAAAATCTTTTTTTTTCTTTTTCTTTCAGATACCTATCTCTAATAATTTTTTCTCGCTCTAAAATATTTTTCTATTTAAATTTATCTCTTTAAAAAGTTTATCTATCTCTCTCTAAAATTTTCATCTCTTGAATATTTGTCACCCTCTCCAAAATTTTCATTGGTATGTATTTATATTTCTTTCTTTTTTTCTAACCTATCATTTTCTTTTTCCTCTCTCTAAAAATTTAATATTTTTCCATATGTTCCTTATTCTCAAATTTCATATTTTATAATTTTTTTCTGATTAATTTATTTTTTCTCTAAAAAAATATATCTTCAACTTACTCTATCTAAATATTTTCTCGTTTAATTTTCTTTCACTTCTAACTTTGTTTCTCTTTCTATTTATTTATTTATTTTCTGTAATAAATATATTTTGAATTTTTTCTTCTCGTCAAAACTTTGTTCTCACTATAATTTTTCTTTTTCCTTCTTGTCAAAACTTTGTTCTCACTATAATTTTTCTTTCTCTTAAATTATTTTCTTTAATTAACACGTGTATTCTTATCTCAACTTTGCTCTCTCTAGAATTCTCTATTTTTTACTTTAACTTTTCTATCGCTAATTTATTTTTCTAACTTTTCTCTAACTCTCTAAAATTTATTCTCTCTTACATTTTTCTTTCAAAATTTTTTTTTATACGACAAAAATTCTCATAGGGTCGAGTCCTCGCTTTAAGAACAGATAATGAATTTCCCATCTTGTCCCATCTCCCATTCTATATATATTTTGTTAATTGTTTTACTAAATTATGAATAAATATTAATCTAATTATTTATACTAGTAAATAATAATTTTTGAGTAAAATAATATAAATTATATATCTTTATTTTTTTATTTTTTAAATTCTAAAAATAATTAAAATTAATTATTAAAGCAATAATTTTTCTCGTGAAGATCCTCGCCCACAAATGAGGATTCATGAACTTGGACCTCGATTCTCGAATTCGGAGAACAAGTTGGAGATGAGAATTAAAAATTTCGTGGAAGATGGCATCCCGACTTCTACCCCACACCGTTGGCGTCTCTAATATTTTACATAAATTTTTTTTATCTCTAATATATATTTTCAAATTTCTAACTTTTTAAAAACAGAAAATCATAAATAGTTACCAAACATATGTTTGGTTTTCAGTTTTTCAAAATCAAAAAACAAAAACAGTTATCAAACGTATATGATTTTTGTTTTTTGAAAACAGAAATCTAAAAACATAAAAAAAAAACAAAAACCAAAAAGTTATCAAACGATCCTTAAAAAGAATGAATTAATGTGATTTGATCGAGGAGAGAAAAAAGATAATCCAACTCGAAATTTCTACAATTCCTTAGAAATTTAGTCTAAGAAT